GGCGGGTCCCCTGCCACAGCAAAGGGGCAGTCCACTGAGAGAAAACTCAGGATGTGCATGGATACAGGGGTCGCCAGGAGGCCCGCTCCCCCGCCACCCTGTGGGCCAGCAGCCGAGCCCCCCACGTAGAACATTACCAGGTCCACCAGCATCTGCATCACCTCCTCGGTCACAAGGTTCTTAGAGTAATCCACCAGAATATGCCCATGGCCGGTGTCGAGGTTCAGGCTGCAGAGAGATGCCAAAGCTGCTCACCACAGCCCAGGTCTCCCCGCCTCCCCCACCAGGGCCGCAGCAGGAGCTGCTCCCAGAAGGAACGTCCTAGTGTGCCACACCCCAAACTGGCCTCAGCCGCCAGCACTGTGTCTGTCACTGCCTGCCCACCAGCTGACCTGCAGCAGCAGCAGGGTAAAGGGCTCCTCCTCACATAACCCTGAAGCAGGCAGACCGTGGCTGAGGAGCCTGGGCCTCGGAGGACAGGGAGCTGGGCGACAGGCAGAGTGACCACCACCGCCCAGCGCCTCCACTCTGTGCCTCGACTTATCCAGGCACCCACCCCCAGGCCAGAGCGCGCCATCAGGGACTTCCAGTCTAAAGCCACAGGTGCCCCCTCTCCTGTGGCATCCTGGCCCAAGAGTTCCTCCCATCTCCCGGCGGTTCACAGGTCTCTGGCCCCAGCCGCGTTGGCAGAACTCATGTTCCAACATCTCCACACTTCCACCGCGGCTCCCCGCAAACCCCCGGGGCCTGCCCGACCCTGCCCGCACCCCGCAGACTTTCCAAGCCCATCGAGGCTGATGACAGAAACGGGGCTGCCCATCCCCGCCTACTGCGTCAGCGAGGGCCCCTCCTCAAAACTGCGGAAGGAGTCCCTTTTTAAATAGCCAAGGGGCAGGAGAAAGGGAAGGTGTCCCCGTGGAAGGAAAGCCGGGAGGCGCCCCGTTTCTCCTCATGACTAAGCAGCCGGGCCCCGAGACCTCCTGGGAGCATGTGAACCCCCAGGAACGCACTCCAAGGAGGCGTCAAGGACGAAGGGCGGCCTCAGCCGAGGCCTCGGTTCGTGGCCAAGGATCCTCGGGGGCCGACGTCCAGGCCCCGCGCACTCCGAACCCGGTCCCGCGCGCCCCGAGCCCGGTCCAGCCAGCCGCGTCCCGGACCCCGCAAGTCCCGGAGCCAGCCTCCCGCCCGGTGCGCGCACCTGAAGCGGTTGAAGCGCTCCTTGTTGCCCTCGAAAAGGCTGCGTAGGTTGAGCTCGGCGCCGTGATTGCGGTGCCATTGCTGCAGCTTCTGGAACTGCGGATTCCGGGAGAGCGCGGCCATGGCGGGACCAGAAGGGTACACGGATTCAGACGTGCGCCGAGCAGGAAGGAGGGGAGGCGGCGGGCAGGGAGCTGAGCCCGGGGGCGCGCAGCGGCTTTTATGGCGCAGGCGCCCGGCCCCGCCCAGCGCCGGCCGGCCCCCACGCTCGCCCGCTCGGCGACCTTGCCCGCTGCCCCTTCTCGGGCCCTGGCTTCTCCCTAAGACAGGGCGGCCCCTCTGGACCGGAAGTGGCTAGGGCAGAGGCCGAGCTCCCGGTGCCCAGGTCTGCTTCTTTCATTCATTCATTCGTTCACTCAACAAAACTCTAGATGGAACGCCTTCCACGTTAAACGTAGTGTCCCAGTGAGACAAACAGGTGGAAAGTATGGCATGTCAGAAACTGACCAGTGCTATCGAGGAAAGGGAAGGGGGAAAGGACGCTGGGTTGCAATTTTATATTTTTTAGTTTTGTTAGGGCCCATGTGCTCCCTGGAGAGAGACAGAGAGAAAAGGTGAGACATTACCCCCAAGAGGGCTGGCCACATGCAATCCCCTTTCTTCCCTTCTCCTCTCAGGATTTTGGGCACGCACAAGGCGGCGCTTCCACCCCAGAATCCTGCGTTGCAGAACAGAACTTCAACCAAGAGGAAGACCAGTTTCACTCTATTCATAATTCCTCAGATGGCTCTATCCCACCTGTAGCCATGAACTCGGTTTTTCTACACTTGATCTTAACTAAAAGGTAGAGAAGCAGTAACTCTTTCTAATCGTTCTTTTTGGTAAACATGGGAGGCAGCTGTTAGCTGTCCAGCATCACTAAATCCCACCCTTGTTTTTTTCTTTCACTGCTTTCTTGACTGCATCAAAACCTCGGTCAGTCACGCCGGGCGCGTGTGTGTGCGTGCCCAAGATCCCGAGAGGAGAATGGAGGAGAAGGGATTGCGGCGTGACCATACCCCTGGGGGGTGATTTCTCGCTTTCTGTCTCTATGTCTCTCTCTGTCTGGCGAGCCCAAGCGCCCTACAGTGAAAGTCTCTCCAAAAAAAAAAAAAACCTCGGTCAGCCAAACAAAGTCCTTAATTGGGACCCGGTGGCGAGCAGAAGGTTCTGATTTCTGTGGGGTTAAACTGCCTGTCTGAAAGGACAGACCTGAGGTTGTTTCTGTTCTCAAGAATACAATGGACAGAATGACCCCTCCCCCCAGGTGCCATAATGAACCTCACAGGGCCCAAGTTCTTGAGGTCAGGCCACCTTCACAACTGGGACATGAGCCAACCGCTCCTCTTAGTCTTTGTCTTTTACAATTTTGAGCTTTTCCATAGATTTTTTTTTTTTTTTGGAGAGGTTTTTGCTATAGGGCGCGTGTGCTCACCAGACAGAGAGAGATAGAAAGTGAGAAATCACCCCCCAGGGGGGATGGCCACGCCACAATCCCTTCTCCTCCATTCTCCTCTCGGGATCTTGGGCACGCACGCACATGTGCCCGGCATGAGTTTAAGCCACCAGGTCCGAGACTCGAACCATGGTCGACTACGTGGGAGTCCAGCGACATAGCCATTAAGCTGCTAGTCCTTTTTCCATAGATTTTTATGTGTGTTCACCTGCCCACTGTCCCTCTGTCTCCTTCAATGATCTCCCTTGTCCACCCAAAACTGATAGGATTAGCTTTGGGTATTGAAGAGGCAGGAAGTGAGGCCTCTGATGGTGGCTGTTTCAAAGGTTTCACCTTCTTTGTGCCACACCACAATGTTTACTCCCAGAATTGGGCCTCTGTGATTCCCAGCCATTTAAATTAGTCCAGATTTCCCCCATCACATTTTAACACTGTGCTCTGAAAACCGGAAGTTACATGGATCTTTCATATTAGCAGAAACTAGGTTCCTATCTGGATCATCGTAAGTCATAGTAGCTCAGGACAGAAAGCACAAAAAAGTAGAACAGAAAGATTATTGACTAAAAGCAGTTCACACTCAGACAGCTAACATGGCGACTGCTCCATTCAAGTTTAATGCAAGGAGCTCTGTGCTAAATCTCCTTCCACAGAACCTCATGGCAGGAAGTCCTATAAGAGATACCCTGTCTTCATTTGGCAGAGATGTTAAGAAATTGTTAAAGAAAAACAAATTAAAAAAAAAAAAAGAAATTGGAAAAGAGCCATTTTGTTATTAAGCACACAATCAATCCGAGGTTTCAGGATTCTTTCCTGACCCTATTTGTTTTTAGTTTCTGTAATTCCCAGAGGGCATGTGTGTGTGTGTGTGTGTGTGTGTGTGTGTGAGAGAGAGAGAAAGAGAGAAAAAGAGAAAGAAAGGAGAAAAAGCACATCCCAACAGGGCGTGGTCATGCCACAGTCCTTTTCTAAAGAATTGCTTTTTATTTAGTTTTATTATTATTTTTTTAATTTGACTAGAGTGACAGAGAGAAAGAAAGAGGAAGAAAGCAAGCTGCCAGGTCCGGGACTCCAACCATGGTTGGTTATGGTCAGTCATGTGAGTCCAGTGCCTTAAACACCATGCCACAATCCTTCCTCCATTTTTCCTTCTCATGAGGATTTTGGGTATGCACACATGCACACACACCCAGCTGAACACCAACCCTGGTAGGCCATGTGAGATCCAGCTCCCAATGCAGTTTTAACCACTGCATCCTGGGGCTGGCTTCTTGCTCTATTTTAGTATCAGGTAGGCCTCTATATTAATATTAATAAAGAGGGTAGAATTTTACAAGCAGAAATGGCCCTGAATGGCATTCCAAAGATAAAGGACGGCAATAGGAGCAAACAGAGTTAGGAAAATTGTAACTGCACCAGTTTTGGTCCTCTTGGACTGGATCCACAGACCTGTGTAGAGCCTAGGAAGCAACCCACCAGTAAAGCTGCAGCGTGGGAGGGCGATTTCGCTGCAGTGTGGGGGCATCTCTGATCAAATCTTGGGGAGTGGCATTGAGTTTGAAAAAACATCAGTGTAAGGTGACTTTATTCTGAAAAATGTTAAAACCCACTATTTTCTACCATTACCAGAACCGCCACCAGGTTGTGCAAGCCCTACCAACCTCAGGGAGTAGGGATAGAATCTGATCCTGGGGGGCAATGAGGCCCAGTGGGCGTCAAGCCAGGGGCTGACTATAAAGAAAACCCATTTTCCCATTTTAGATCTAAAGATGCTGCTCCAGCAGAGGGTACCTAAAAGTTCCCAGAGTAAGATGCCATCTGAGTGGTTGCGGGGAGAGAGAGGGCTGGGAGGAGCTGGATAGTAAAGGCAAGTCAGGAAGGTCAAGAGCTCGGTTTAAAGACGCTGACCCCCCCCACCCCCCTCCCTCCACTGTTCATCAAGCTAGTACTTACTGGACCGTGCACCTGGCACAGTTCCAAGCAAGAACTCGGTTCTAAAGACAGGAAATGGAGGCATTGGGCATTTAAATAAGTCAGGCCTCATTCAGGGCCACCGGACAAGGGTCGGGCAGGACCTAGTGGTCAGGGGAGCGTGGGAGTGAAGGTGGAGGGTCTGGGACAGGGGAACTTGGGGAACACATTGAAGAGGGGGGGCAGGGTCAGTTATCGGGCCTGAGTCGAAGGAGCCCGCAGGAGGTCGGGATCTGGGCGCGCTGTGTCCATGCTGAAGGATTTGCGAGATCTGTTCTGGGGAGGCGCGCCCACCAACGATGCTGAGTCACGGTGACCGCGCGAGAGGAGGGGCCTACACCTCTATGGGGCTCCGTCCAGAGAGTTTCGGAAGCTTCAGGTGCTGGCACGCATTCTCCAAGGTGCCAGCGGTTACTTGCCTACGCCCAGGGAAGGCGAGATCGAGCGCAGGGATTGTTGGGGCTGGGAAGCGCTCCAGTCCCCGTGTGGGCGGGCACGCTAGGGTGGGCGTGGCGCGCGCTTGTGCGCATGTCCCCACACACGGCGGAGAGGGAAACGCGAACGTCTCTGTCCGCACGTCCGGGATGGACGGAGTGCGCCGGTGAGCGCATGCTCCGGGTGGAAGCGGCCGTGCGCATGCGCACGCCGTGAGCAATACGTGGGAGGGGTGTCTGTTCCTTGTCAGCTGGTCCCTGGTGGCGGTCTTCGCTTCCAAGTCTTGTTCGAACGTTGTCCCCAGATTTCCCCCATGAATCCACTGCTAGGTTTTTGTTTTGTTTTTAATTCTATTCCACGAGAATAGAAAACGCGAATCCATAGCCTATCGGCAGCCCCTAGTGTTAACCCCTCCTTGCAGTCTTACAACTGGTGATTATGTATTACTTTACCACGACATGAGAGCCTTTTTTAAGTCCAGTTGTAATTTTTGCTCTGTATTAGAGTTCACAAATTCTGATTCCAGCGATACTTCATGTCTCAAGTGGCTTCACTAGGTCCTGGGTGCTGTCCTGCACTGTGGGCACGTGGCCATGAACAAGTCCCCCCCACCCCCCATAGGGCCTTTATTTCAGTGAGAGGGACAAATGCAAACACAGGATTCCAGGGGAGTGCTCAGTGCTAAAATGATAAATGGAGCACCCAGGTGTCCTGGTGGTTAAGGTGGCTGGATCACACCTGGCTTGAAAATGACACTAGGCACGTGGGTGTGTGTGACCAAAGTCCTGAGAGGAGAATGGAGAAGGAATTGCAGTGTGGCCATCTCCACTGGGGTGTGATTTTTCACTCTCCTTTTATGTCCCTCCCAAACTGGCAAGCACATGCACCCTATAGCAAATTTTTAAAAATAACAATAAAAATGACAGGAGGCCGGCAGATGGTGTGGTTAAGGACGCTGGACTCCCACATGGCCTACGAGGTTTCAAGTCCTGGACCTGGCAGCTTGCTTTCTCACTTTCCCTCTCACTCTGTCACTCTCTGATCAAATTAAAAAATAAATAAAGTTAAATAATTCTTTTTAAAAAATTACTATGACAGACAAAGCCTAGGTTGGAAGATCTTCTCTGGCCCCAGAAAATGAATGGAAAGTCTGAAACAGCCTGGAAGCAACAGGCAAGTGAGTTGGAGGTCACAGAGCAAAGCCACTTGAGGGGAGGGGGGATTTGGAAAATCCTGAGGCTGTAGAGGGAGAGGCAGGAGACAAATGAGGTCCAGGCTGACAGCAGTGGAGGTGTAAGAACGTGGATTTTGAGCTGGGAGATACTAGATTGCCGATTGAGAATGAAAGAGAATCAAAAATGTCTTATAGGATTTTAGTCTGAGCACCTGGGTGGGTGGATGGTGGTGGACAGAAAAAACGGAGTTGTCGCTCTTAAAAGACTTTTCAGTGGCAGAGACGGCATCATCATTGCAGTCCTGGCTCCTAACGAGGACCTTGGTCTCTAAGTGACAGAAAATGTTGAAATGGATACAACACTCCTGAAACAATCCTTCCCTCTCACTTAGGCCCACAGCCCCACCTTGGACTCAGCACAAGCCACCCCGAGTCTCCTGACACACACACAGAGGCCAGCCCTGTGGAAACATGAGGCTGGCTGTCAGGAGCCTGCCCCGGGGTTTTGTTGGACTCCTGAGTACATGTAGTTCGGAGGCAGCCAGTTATGCTGTTCATGTACATGGCTTTTTGGAAATTGAGCTGACCATTGGGAAAGGTTAATTTCCTATCTCCAGACCAGAAGGCAGGCCAAACCAGTGGTCACACAGTGCAGAGGGCTGTCCCCTCACAGCCTTGTGGTTGCCATGTGGCATTTCAGCTACAGCCCCTAAACTGGAAGCCCCATGATCCCAGGATACCCAGGTGGGAAAGGAGGCACACAAGCCTCACAAGTTCCTCAACAGCCGGTGTGTTCTCCATTGCTCAGATGGATAGAGGCCTCCAACGAGGTCAGGTATAACAGCTGTTCTGCCTCCATCCCCACCCAGCTGGCACATGGCCAGAGCCACAGGACTCCTGTCTCCATCACTGCTGTGAATGGAAGCCAGTGAATCGAATTGAAGCCCGCTTGTGTGAAATAGGAACCTTTTTTTTTTTTTTGTAATTTTGCCAGTGGGTGCATGTGCTCACTGAAGAGAGACAGAGAGGCAAAGAGATGGCATTGTGGTTAAGGTGCTGGACTTCCACATGGCTGACCATGGTTTGAGTCCTGGACCTGGCAGCTTAAAAATCATGGTGGGCACATGTGTGTGCATGCCCCAAATCTCAGGAGAATGAAGAAGGGATTGTGGCATGGCCATCTTCTCAGGGGTGTGGTGGGGTGATTTTTCACTTTCTCTCTCACTGTCTCTTTCTGGCAAGCACACACATCCTATGGAAAAAAAAATCTTAAAAAAAAAGTGTGAAAGCACCTTCACACAAGGCATGGTCACACCCTCCTCCTATATCTCTCCCTCCTCTTGGGATTTGCAGCATGTGTGCACATGCACAGTTTCTCAAGCTGCCAGGTCCACAACTTGAACCAGGTGGCTGGCCATGAGGGATCCAGCTACCTTAACCACCAGGCCACAGGCTGGGCTGAAACAGGAACCAGGAAATAAAGTAAAACGTGTGTCTTACTTTCCTGCTATCGCTTTGGTACAATTTTCCAGTGTATTCCGTAGCATACTTACACAACATGGCCGACACTAAGCAACCTGTCTTGTACATTTGAAAAGTTCTGGGACGTGGCCCTTATGTTCAGCTCTGGGGCATTTCAACAAACAGAAGCCTTACACTCGGAGGTTATATATTAATATATTAATGTTCCATTCTCTTAAGTTCATGAAAGTTTCAGTGGTGTCCTGTCTTTCTGTAAATGAAATGAGCTGCAGTTCCCCTGGAACCCACTCCCCATTTGCGGAGCTCATCATAGTCTTCCTTCTGCTGCGCAGGATGGCATCATCCATGAGACAGTCCTCCTCACCTCTGTGAAGCAGGGTCTCTCTGCCTCAGGTGAGTTTCCCTAGCAGGGACAGAGGGTAAAAACAAGTCCTCATCCCAGGTCAGCTCCAAAGACAGGCTGGCTGGGCAGGTGACAGCACCCACATTTGGTACAACAGGGGAGGTGGCAGACTCAAACCCAAGGAACTGCATTCTTCCACGAGACGGACTCCTTCACCACTGCCTTGGGTCCCCCTTCCCAGAGTCCTGAGGCTGGTTGTGGCCTTAGGGAAGCCAAAGGAGAGGGGTGTTGCTTGTTCTCCCTTCCCGTCCACTCTAGCCTACCCTAAGTCCTAGTGATCTTTCCCCATGCTGGGTCTCGGGGACAGGCTGACCTAAAATCGAACTCATATACAGCTTTTCAAAGAAATGAGTCAGGCAGAGCTTCTGACAGGGAGAAGTCATTTTAAATAAAAATACAACATGTTATTAAATGTATATTTTTAATAAAGCCAATAGTTATTTTACTTATAGGAGCTTTAAAAGTAAGATACAAAATGTAGAGTTCCAGTTTGGAAGCATTGTAACTATTCACACAATGTCCTGCTGATGCCCGAGCAAGGCAGCCACGCCCGGCCACGAAAGGACACACACACTCACACACGCACACACATGCGCTCTGGCGAGACCCCTCTGCCAAGCGCAGCACCTGGAATTACCAGTGTTCAGAGCAAGGTGGTGCTGGGAACACAGCACCTACAAGGAGACCACACAGACAGCTTCACACGGTCTCACAGCCCATGGAGATGCAATTACAAAATGTCTTCCATAATAAACAAACTGGAAAGTGACAATTAGCAATGTCACTCTTGCTGGGGCATCAGGGGCTGACCTCTGACCCAGGCAAGGTCTTTGGGGGAGGCACTATTAAAACAAGAGTACTTCAGTATAATAGAACTCCAGATACGGGGTACTGTGGACACGTTACTGAAGGAAATAGAAAACTATCTTACAAGTGAAACAGCCACAAACAACGTTAACAAAGAGATTAGTGTGCACACTGGGACGACGAACACAGACGAGAGCCACGCAGGGTTGGTGCAAAGCACGTGCCTGGAAAAGTCTATGTACAAAACAGTTCTCTGTAAACATGGTGAGGTGAATGTTCAGAACCCATGGTGAAAGGATCGTAAGTACAGGCAGCAATGGCATCCCCACACAGCACAAAAGACAACACCCGAGGCCTGGAAACAGCCTGACAACACAGTACTAAAAATTCAGGTGGCTGGGCTCAGACACCCTAAGGGTCCTCTATAGTGTGTGTGTATGTGTGTGTGTACGTACATATATATATCTATTCTTTTTGGTATTTTTAAATATAAATTTACTTATATCCATAGAAAAATGAGAACATAAGTGTGTTATTACAATCTTTGCTGGAAAAGCTTATATGGAGTTAGAAAGAATAAACCATTTATTAGTAGTTAACATATATTAAAATGGTTTAATGATTTAAGAAAATATAAAAAAAAATATTAATACTGTCAAACTTTCATACCAGAAAATATTATGGATTTTTCTCAATTAGACTTTTTCAAAGATGAAATATGAAAAATTTAAATAAGTTTTATATAAAGAACTTTCTGTAACCTCAATTAATATACAGTGGGATATGTCTAGTCTATATAGATATATTTATTATTATTTCTCAATTTAAGCACCATTCAATTCTTCTGGATCCATTCTGGCTGGAAAATACCCCTAATTCCACAGGATGTAATCTGTTTAATGGCACAAGTTAATTGAAAATGAGGTGGATTTTTTTCTTTTTTAAAGAAAAGTCTTTCATTCCTATCTTATATCTTAATTGGTTTGTCTCCTGAACCAGCTCACAAGTGTCATTGCAATTTCAAGTACAGGTGTCTCTGTGCAGCCCCTTGACCGCACCCCACTCTGAGGTCTATGCGGTGGCTCTGGCCATGTGTGCAGGGATGAGGGAGCAGGTGCAGGCACCTTGTCCCTATTGGCACAACGACAGTGGCCAGCTGGCTCCTCTCCATGCACCATCGAGAATATGCCTGCAATCAGCTTTACAATTCTGCTTTTGTAAACCTGGGAAAGGCCACAGCCCTGGCTGCCTACCCACAGAAAACCCAGGCAATCGCTTCTGATCACAAATATGCTATACTTGCCCATTTTGTGTGAGCTTAAATAAAAATAGTGTTGAACAAACCTCTAGCCAGTATATCTGTTACCTTAAAATATTTCGATGCATTTTAGGCAGGAGATGTTTTAACTAAAAACCTACATGAAAAATAGCTATGAAATACAGTGACTGGTGTGATCATCACTCAGTGGGTTAAGGAGAGAAGAGGGTTTCAGAAGAATGGTCAGTTTTGCTCTTAGCCTCCAGGCCTCCCCAATACAGGGCAGGACTAAAAAACATTTTGAGCTGTGTTTCTCAAACCTTGGCCGGCGGCTGCCTACATCAGAATCACCTGAGGTGCTCATGAAGCATGCAGATTCCCCCAGCATCCCCCTGAGGGTCAGAAACCTCCATCCTCAGCTGGCTCTCTGAAGTCGGATGCCTCCAGAGTATGAGAAGCCAGACTTTAAAGGCTTGGAGCTGCCAACCCCAGCCCCAAGGAACCCTCCCCGGGACAGAGGTACTCTGGTCCTCATGGGGGCTGGTGTCAGTTAGTCAGCTGTGTGGCAGGGACACTCACCCCAACAGCCCTGGGCAGGCAAGCAGGTTGTTCCTGGGTCAGTACTGGGGCAAGTAGGCAGGCCTGCGCTCAGCCTTCCCAGGGAAGGCCTTGAAGCCCTTGGGTGTTGCCTTGTGTGCTGGTGGGGGTGGGGGCTGTGGTGGGGTCTGCACATAGGTGAAGGAGGCAGCACTGCAGTCGCTGGCCGCAGCCCACACCGGGGACTGTAGCATCTGCATGGTGTCACTCCACTGACTGCCAGGGCTGGCGACTGCGTAGAGTGGTGCACTCGGGCTGGGCAGTGTGCTGGGCAGCGGGGAAGGGTGTTGCCAGGGTGCTTTGGGTGGCCACGTTTTGGTTTTGTTATCCTGAGAGACAGAAGAAGGTTCTTAGTGACATTTCTGGCAGTTTACCATCTCTTCCCTCAGTCCCAGATCTTGGCCTGTATTCCCACCCGGAAGGGATGGCTCGATGACAGCCCCACCTCCCTGCTGCGGAGCCCAGCAGAACTCTGGAGCAGCAGCAGTGTTCTGTGCTGCACTGCCCCACGCTGCCTCATATGGCAGGCAGCCCCTCACCACGTATGCAACTGTGGAAGTGTGTTTTTATTTATATTTAATTAATTTAAATTGAAACAGCCACACATGGTGAGTGGCTATCACATTGGACAGAACAGCCTTGAGCTTCCTCTCCATGTGGCTCTGTCAGCTGAGATGGTGAATCATGTAGGCGGAATCATAAGGAAAAATGGATTCACCACAAGAAAGACCCCTTATTGCTTAGGCCCTCTGAAAACTGAAGCTTTGCCATCTGCCCATGGTCCGTGCCCACAAAGCCGGCTGGCAGTACCTGGTTCACATCCTCCACTGTGGTGAGGAGAGGCGGCGACGGCAGCGTGCTGGTCTCCTGCTCTCCACTGCTGTGCTTCCTGCAAAAGTGAGAGCCCAGGGCAGTGGCTGCTGGGCTTCCTGCTCAGCTCACCTCCAAGGGACACCTGCTGCCCTGTTCCCGTGTCTCCCTGCCCAGGTCCCAGGTGGGGGGGTCCTGGGTCCACTGCATTCCAAGGGCACGGGCACACGCATGGCCAGCACTGAATCCATGTGAAGACCCAGGTAGAAGACAGCTATCCACAAGCCAAGGAGAGATGCCTCAGAAGAAACCAGCTCGACCAACATCTTAGATTTCCAGCAGCCAGGACTACAGAAAACAGGTTTCTGCTGGTGAAGCCACTTGGACTACGGCAGCTTGTTATGGTGGCCCTAGCAAATGCATCCAGTGGTTATGAGACTTAAGTGAGAAGATGTGTGTGAAGTGTTTAACCCAGGGCCTGGCATTCAGAAGGCACTCTGCCTTCTGCCAGTGAGCACTGTCATCACCTTCATCCCTACTCTGTGTGCCCTAACTCAGGGCCTGTTGGTGAGACCCAGTTCCAACTTGGTTGTGCCAGCCCTGCTCCTCCCACAGAGAGGGCTGCCTCCAGCACGGCACAGACCAGCACGCAGATCTGTCTTCTGAAAGCCCCTTTGCCTATCTTTTCAGCATTTCTGGCTGCCATGAGACTGGTTCGGTTAGCAAAACCCAATTCAATATTAGGTCACCTGGACTACATGCCCGTGTGATGGTCCCATAGAAGCCTCACCAGATGAGGCCAGCTCTTCCTTGTGGAAAACACCTCCGGAAGGTGCTCCTGAGAGGTCTTCAGTCAGTGCTGGCAAAGCCCTGCCACTCCCTCACACAAGGCAGACAGTGAGTGAGGGGGTTCCGCCCTTGCCAGAGGGATAAAGCTGTGGGCCACTTTCACGTGCCCCTCTTCCCTCTCCTTGGCTTATGAATCTGCTCATACCTTCTCTGTTTGACGGCAGCAACGAGGTCAGGCCCTGAAAACATGGAGAACAAGCTGTCGCCGTTGGCTGAGGACGTCTCATCACTTGAGCTGGCCGAGTCTCCCTGGGTGGCTGACCAGCTGCCATGCAGGCCATCGCTGAAAGCCAGAGAGAGAGAGAGGCTAGTCCCAGGCTTCCTGTGGCCACTGGACCCTGGCTGGACAGCCCCAAGGCAGCCCTTAGCCTCTGGCTGAATCCTGAAAGGCCAGTTCCTACCCTGCTCTCACCTCATAACCAAAGTGTGGTCTTTCATCAATCTTTTCTTTTTTTCTTTTTTTTCCCCCATCAACCCTTTCTAAAAACATGATGTTTTCTTCCTTTCCCTTATTATTATTATTTATTTTTTTTGGAGAGGTTTTTGCTATAGGGAGTGTGTGCTCACCAGAAAGACAGAGAGAGACAGAAAGCGAGAAATCACCCCCCAGGGGGATGGCCACACCGCAATCCCTTCTCCTCCATTCTCCTCTTGGGATCTTGGGCACACATGCACATGCACCCAGCATGAGTTTAAGCCACCAGGCCCAAGACTCTAACTGTGGTCGACTACATAGGAGGCCCAGTGACATAGCCATTACGCCAACTACTGGTCCCTTCCCTTATTAAAAAAGTAATACATAGTTATCCTTTTTTAAAAATTTTATTTATTCATCTACTTAATTTTTAATTTGACCAGAGAGAGAAAAAGAGAAAGAGAGAGGAAGTAAGAAAGCAAGCCACCAGGTCTGGGACTCGAACAGTGGTCGGCCATGTGGGAGTGTGCAGCACTTTAACCACCATATCATTTCTTGATATTCCTCTCAGAAGCCTGTGGTTTGCATATGAAATTTATTTAGAGAAAACAAAAGTGATGGTCTTTACCTGCTCAGATGTAGCAATATGGGGTGTGAAAAATCTCCACTTGTCTTTACAATAAAAAAATCTACAATTCTCTCAACATCCTAGAATCTTTGCTTTTTGTAGACTACCATAGTAGCATTCCATAAATCAGGTGGGTTTCATAGCCACACTCATTTCAGTATAAAGATTACTTATTTCACAAACACTATCAAATAAGATGTTTGTCTAGGCTTAAGAATCACCTTGAAAACCATAGATTTACACCAATTCTGTGTTCACAGCAACACATCACACCCATTGGCATCCTACAGTCACACAACTCTGAGCACTAGGGGGAGGTCAGGTGGCTCCCTCCACTGGGGTTAGTGTCTGCCTGATCCACAGAGCTCCCCAGGGTGGGTAGTCGTATCTAAGGTGGCTTGGAAGTGAACTTCCTGATGAGACAGCATGAAGGTCACTGAACTTCCTTCTCACGGGCCCCAGGGGGAACATGGAAATCCCAACTCAGCTTCTCTGTCATACCCAGCACTCACCCTTCCGTGAAGAACTCTGGGAAAGGCCAGGTCCGATGGGCATCATCCATGGGTGGCCAGTGACCACGGGGATTGCCCGGACGGCGACCATGCTGGGCTTGCCGCTTCTGCTGCATTGCCTGGCTCACTCCTGCCACATAGCGTGCAAACTCTGGGTCTGAGCCCACTGCATGGAGACAAAGGAACAAAGACGGTTTGGGGCTAACCTTCCTCTCGGTTCCTCTCCTCCCCTCTGAGGAGGTACTAATCACACACACGATGGAGTGGTAAGGAGTGGCAGCACTGTGTCTCAGGGTGGGCTGCAGGCTATGCTCAGCACTCTGCGATGGGGAGGGATGCGCTTGGCACAAAGGTTTGAGGTTGGGGCAGGGTGTGTGCCCAGACTGTCTCGGATAGAGGCAAAATGACATGAAAGACAGAAAAAAGCTTTGATTTACCCATAACTAAATTATAATTGGTTGATTTTTTTTTTTGAGAGGTTTTCGCTATAGGGTGCGTGTGCTCGCCAGATAGACAGAGAGAAACATAGAGACAGAAAGCGAGAAATCATTCCCCAGGGGAGATGGTCACGCCGCAATCCCTTCTCCTCCATTCTCCTATCGGGATCTTGGGCACACATGCACACGTGCCCGGCATGAGTTTTAAGCCACCGGGTCTGGGATGCTAACCGCGGTCGACTACTTGGGAGTCCAGCGACATAGCCATTGCACTAACTGCTGGTTCCCCATAACTAAATTATAAAGAGAAACCCTAGCTACTTTAAAATTTTCCAGTATCTTGGGACTATGTACCTAAAGTTGGTACCTAACAATTAAGAAAGTCAGATGGTGATGTCTATCCCTCTCTCTCTCTTTCTGAAGAAAAAAACTTTTTTTTTTAAAGAGAGATTTTTTGCTACAGGGCGTGTGTGCAAGCCAGAGAGAGACCAAGAGACAGAAAGCACAAAATCACCCGCCCCCACCAGGGTGGATGGCCACACCATAATCTCTCCTCCTCCATTCTTCTTTCAGGATTTTGGGCACTCATGCACACGTTCCTGGCATGTGTTGGTTTTTTTGTTTGTTTGTTTTGGTTTTTTTAATATGTATTTAATTTTATTTACTTTTTTTTTTTTGGGGGGGGTAGTTTTTGTTATAGGGTACGTGCACTCCCCAGAAAGACAGAGAAAGGCAGAAAGACAGAAAGCAAGAAATCACCCCCCCAGAGGGGATGGCCACACCGCAATCCCTTCTCCTCTATTATCCTCTCAGGATCTTGGGCATGCATGTACACGTGCCCGATCTGAATTTAAGCCACTGAGTCCAGGACTCAAACAGCAGTCGACTACATGGGAATCCAGCAACATAGCCATTATGCCAATTGCTAGTCCCTACTTTATTATTATTATTATTTGCTATAGGTCACACGTGCTCATGAGAGAGAGAGAGAGAGAAAATGAAAACACCAGGTCTAGGACCTGAACCATGGTCAGTCATGTGGGAGTCTAGCATCTCAACTACCACGCCACCTGCTGGTCCCTTGGTGTGAATTTTAAGCTGCCAGGTCAAGGACTCAAACAGGATATGGGAATCCAGCAATGTAATCATTATACTTACTATCCGCTGGTCCCAAGAAATAAACTTATAAAAAAGAAGAAGAAGGAAAGGAAAGGAAGAAACACCCAGAACGAAAAGAGTAGGATTTGTAAGCTAAAGATATAAAGAAGGGCCTTGGGCCCTCGAAGGCTCAATAGAAATCAAAGACAGTATAATTGGGTCAAACACTGTTTACACTCTGGATTTAGTTATGTAGGTATCAAAAAACAGACAATGTATCATCAATTAAGAAAATGTGCCAAGTCTATCCCAACTGGTGGCTTGCTGTTTCATGGCAAGGTGAGCTATTCACGCTTTTTGAAATGCAGGACTGTAGGCAAAACCTCTGCTCCTTGGGTGACCTCCTCTTAAACAAGGAGAGCACAGTAGCAGTATGAGGAACTTTTAGCTGGGTGTTTTAGCACAAATCTCTTCTCTGGGGACCAGCAGTTAGCGTAATGGCTATGTCGCTGGACTCCTACGTAGTTGACCGTGGTTCGCATCCTGGACCTGGTGGCTTAAAACTCACGCCAGGTGTGTGAGCGTGCGTGCCCAAGATCCCGAGAGGAGAACGGAGGAGAAGGGATTGCGGTGTGGCCATCCCCCCTGAGGGGTGATTTCTCGCTTTCTATCTCTCTGTCTGTCTCTGGCTGTCTGGCGAGCGCACGTGCCCTATAGCGAAAACCTCTCAGAAAAAAAAAAAAAATCTCTTCTCTGGTTTACTTATAAAAATATTTGCCATAGGGCCAGCCGGTGATAGTGGTTAAGGCACCGGACTCCCACATGGCTGACCATGGTTGAGTCCTGGACCTGGCAGCTTGAAACTCATGCCAGGCACGCATGGTGCATGCATACCTGAAATTCTAAGAGAATGGAGAAAGGACTGTTGACATGGCCATCCCTCCAATGGGGTGCTTTCTCACCTGTCCCCACCCCCGGGAGCACATGTACCATAGAGCAAATAAAACAAAAAAAAATTGCTGCTGGGGGCCAGGCAGGGTTACTGTGGTAACACAATGGACCCACATGGGAAATGTCCTGAGTTTGCATCTCGGGAACTCCCTGAGCAGTTCAGGTTAATGCATGCCCATGCTCAGAGCTGGCTGAAACTGGGGGTGGACTGTGGCATGAATACCTTGTCCCTGTTGGAGGTACCTATCTCTCTCTCCCTGTAGAAATAGATAAGCTTAAAAAAAAATCTGTTATCTTTTATCAAGTGTCTTAACAGCATTTTTTAAAAAATTTTTGCTATACGGCACATGTACTTGCCAGAGATAGACAAACAGAAAGAGATGAGAGAGATGAGAAAGCACCAACTTGAGGGGGAATGGCCATGCTACAATCCCTCTCTTCCATTCTCCTCTCAAGATTTTGTGCACGTGTGTACATGTGCCAGGTGTGTTTTTCTTTTTTAAAAAAAATTATTAGAGGGGCCAGCAGATGGTGTAATGGCTAGGTTGCTTGACTCCCATGTAGTCAACAGTGGTTCAAGTCCCAGACCAGGGGGCTTAAACTCACCCCGGGCGCCT